CCACATGTAAGTACGTAATTTCTCGTTTTCATGTGCATATGTATATTTTTTATTTATTGTTATAAAAGTAACTAAAATGATCAAATAAGAAACTTGTTAGGTTAGGTAAGAAAAATTAAAAAACAAACTCTGTAGCACATCTTGCAAGCAGAGCATGCTGTAATTTAACTTGATGTTGTGATTCCACAAAGCTTCCCTGTTGTTATAATCTAATCTAAGTGGCAGTAACACAAATCTAAATGACTGGGAGACTTGGCTCGTATTTGATTTGACTGTAAGAACAAATAGTGTGTCACTCTAGAAAGAAGAGAGTGTAACTTAGATTTTGTTTTATATTTTCTTTCATTAGTTTCAAGGTTGGTCAAATGGACCGCCGAGCAGAGCCTGTATGCAGTGTTAGGGTAGAGAAAATAGCAGATAGAATACAATGTTTTATTGGAAAACAATTTACACATTTAGGAGGTTGTAGAGGTTTTGCAAATGAAATTTGAAAACTGTAAGATGAAAAAGAATATTTTAATTCTTAACCTGGAAATTACTTTACACTCGGACTTGCAAGTCAGTCTGTGACTCCATAAGTTCACAGACAGATCTTTAGTATAAATACTTTATTAAAGAATCTGATATTTCTTGTACAAAAGTATTGTATTGTTTACATTATGTATTGTATATTCATTAATATATTTGGTTATATGGGTTCTGGGTAAATTTCCTGTGTTTGTTTATATGAAGGTACTATTATGTTTGTATTTACAGATCGACTTGTTATTGAATTATAACCAACAACTAAGCATGTGATTTGCCACACCTTGCCTCCTGGAGATTACTCACTTATAAGTAGCACACAAAAATTTAAAATAAATGCTCCAACCTTTTTTTTTACTCTTAAGTGTATAAGAATAAACTCAACTTTGATCTGTAAATACAAGCATAATAGTACCTTCATATAAACAAACATAGGAAATTTACCCAGTAACCATATAACCAAATATATTAATGAATATACAATACATAATGTCACTAGCAAAAACCAAATCTGTTACTGTTCAATTTTTTAATATTGAAATAGTTGCATATGATTTTATGTTAATTTTAAGTTTTTCTGTTTTTTTATATATAGGAAAAGGGAATTTATTTACTGAAGCAAAAACTATAGATTCCACAGTTGGACATTTTAATAATATTGAACGTAATGAAGTGTCTGTAGAAGAGGAAAAATGACATCGAACTCCCCGACCTCTGCCGATGCCTGCCTCAGTATTGTTCATAGCTTGATGTGTCACAGACAGGGAGGAGAATCAGAAAGTTTTTCCAAAAGAGCGATTGAAAGCTTGGTGAAAAAACTCAAAGAGAAGCGTGATGAACTTGATAGTTTAATTACTGCTATCACAACAAATGGAGCCCATCCCAGTAAATGTGTTACCATACAGAGGACACTGGATGGAAGATTACAGGTAATGTTTTAAAATTTAAATCATGCAAATAAGTAAGTTTACTTTGACTATGATAAGGATTCTGGCCTTGAATTGTTGTTTAATTTATTACATGGGACAACCTAGTAGTCCCTAAATGTTGCATAGATTTAATTTGTAATAGTTCTGAACTGTCAGAATATAATTGTGAACAATGTTATGTGATATTACAGACTGTGAATATGAAACTACTATCACAACCGTCATAACCTCACAATAGTTTCAAGTCTTTCTACAAGTTCAGTTTGATGCACTACTCAGAATATCCATAGTCTAGTGTTGCAGCAATTTCTTTGATATTGATATAACACCTCTACAGATCTTTTAGGTGCTTATACTGTTAGTTTCATGTATTAATTGGCATGTCCAAACATTAGTGATACAAGAAAACTTTGAAATCAACATAAAACTTGTACAGGGTCATCTTACTGCACAGCAATGAGCTTATACCTTGTATCTACTGCTGTGTAAATCCCTGTGCATACCAGAAGTATTGAACAAAGCTTTCACTCCTACACTTGTATTGCACAAGCCTATAACGTGATCATCATGTGACTATAGCTCTACACCAATAGGAGAACAACAAATAATGTGATCATCATGTGACTATAGCCCTACACCAATAGGAGAACAACAAATAACGTGATCATCATGTGACTATAGCCCTACACCAATAGGAGAACAACAAATATTTCTTCTACGGTAATCTAACATCTGAACATAAGCTCATTCGCTCCTTGCCACTGCTCGTCTTCAGGTGTTTAGTTCTTTTTATAAGATTTACCAAAATGTTTACATTTATTGTTTTAATCTTTTGTTACTATTCATCATCTTGTCTTTTTTCCTTAAGTTTATTAACTACACTAAATGGTAAACTTATCAGTTACAACTTTCAGTCAAGTTATCATGAATTTGATTTTCTTCTGATTGACTTTTGTCCTTAGGCTCATGCATCACTGCCGTACCTGGCTCAGTTTCTTTCAAACCAATAAAAATACAAGAACAAAACACATTCCATCATATACACATCTTATAAAAATGGATCACCAGAAAATTAGTTTTCTGGATTAATTAGATTATACACTGACATTCCCGTGTTTGATTTAGTCCGAGGGTTTTAACACTCCATAACTTAGTGGTACACTGACATTCCCGTGTTTGATTTAGTCCGAGGGTTTTAACACTCCATAACTTAGTGGTACAATAAATTATTTGAAATTAATACAAAAGGTGTACAGGATTCTCAGCTAATTTCACGTACGACTTAGCTTGCCCATAACTTAGTGATAGAGCTGGGTGATTACCAGTATTTACTAATAAATTAATCACTGGGCTCGTTAGTCGATTATTGCATGCCTCTACAACCCCCTCCTGTACAAGCAAGAAACTAAAATAGGTGATAATTGTAAACTTAACTAAGCTTATCTGATATGGTGACAACTTTATCAGTTAATGGCTGTAATTAAAAAAACATGTTTATAAACATTGGAACCTAAAATCAAATGTAGTATTTATGCTAACAGGTAAAAAACACTAATTTCAAACAAAGAACCAGACATCAACAAGATACCTCTATTAAGCCTTAAAAAATTCTGATCATGTGACTTCTTTGTTTCATATGGTGTATATATTCTTGTACCTGATGATGACAAAACCTTCTCTAAACATTGTTTACTATAACTAAGTTTTCTTTGTTACCCATTCAACCCATCTCTAAACTTTATAAGTTTACCTACCTTATTTCAAGTTATCTGATTTCAAACAAAAGGAACGTTTACAGAAGCTATAAACCATTACATTTACCCTTCTGTTATGTGTTAATGTAATTCTTTATCATATTTACACTTTCTTTATAGCTGTTTTATTGGTAAGTGATAAAAACACTTAATACAGCACCATAATCAGGTTTCTCCTCAGGTCTGAACACAAACTAAGGAAAACAAATGCAAATCAGCCATGGGGCAATCTTTATGGTTGTTTCTTTTTAAAAACATCATGAACATAGAACTGTGTATGGCCGTGTTTCTTTTAAAAACATCATGAACATAGAACTGTGTACGGCCGTGTTTCTTTTAAAAACATCATGAACATAGAACTGTGTACGGCCGTGTTTCTTTTAAAAACATCATGAACATAGAACTGTGTACGGCCGTGTTTCTTTTAAAAAACATTATGAACATAGAACTGTGTACGGCCGTGTTTCTTTTAAAAACATTATGAACATAGAACTGTGTACGGGCCATATTTCTTTTAAAAAACATTATGAACATAGAACTGTGTACGGCCGTGTTTCTTTTAAAAACATCATGAACATAGAACTGTGTACGGCCGTGTTTCTTTTAAAAAACATTATGAACATAGAACTGTGTACGGCCGTGTTTCTTTTAAAAAACATTATGAACAT